AATATGTTCAGGTACTTCCTTCTTCAGGGAGAGAAAAAAAAATCAAGCTATTATTTATGTACCTCATTTTTGTGTCAGGGAATATTCATAGGAATTAACTCCTTTACTTCTGTTAGCCACCCTAGCCATGAGTAAGCTACAAAGTGTCATTTCCAGATGGGGAAACTGAGGCATGGGCAATTAAATAATCTACTCAAGGTAAACAGCCACCAGGATGCAAATGCAGACTGCATGGCTCCATTTTACATTTTTAAACAGTGAGCAACACTATTTCACAGGCTGTTCAGAGCCCTCAAGGCCCATTTCCGCATATGACCAAATGTAAGCCAACAGCTGATTCAATGACATTGAGCCCTAACATACAGCAAGAACAGATCACTCCAAAGCCCCCACAAACACTATCAGTAGGGGAAGCTAAGCTCTACGTGCAGGCTCCTTCAAGCTGAAGACAGTCTGCAGGCCAACGGGATGTCACTCCTGACTGGTTCTGGAACACACATGGATTACACAAGCCCTTCACAGGGGAGCAGGAACCAGCCTCATCCTGCATCCCATGTGCATCACGCCAAGCCCTGAGCTTGCCTCAGGCGAGTGCTAACAGAGAGATATGCTCTGAGCCCCAAGGAGCTCCGAACCCAAGGACACAGCTGGGTAGCAGGCAGGCAGTGTAGTCAGTGCCACTACAGGTGTGGGGTCAGAGCTGAAAGGGCCCAGCAGGAGCAGGCCATGCTGGACTTTCTGCATGAACCTCTTTGCTTGGGCTGACTGAGATGAAGCCTGCTCAACTCATGCTCTCCTTCCTGCTCCTGATGACTCTGAGACTCAGCACCAAAAAGGCCAGTGCCAGCGCCAGCGCCAGGCTGCTTTATTAAACAGTCACCACCACTCTAGAAGCACAGCGCCAGGGGCTTGCAGCCCCATCACTCACTGCTCTGAGGACACCAACTCCACTGGCTTACCTCCTAAAAGGTCTGCTGATCCTCCCACTCCTCCCTATCTCTGGCCCAACTGACACCCACGTTCTAGCTACAATGATATGCTCATATTCTTAGCAAAACAAAAACACAAGGAAAGGGCCCATCACCATGGCTCAACAGGTTAATATTCTGCCTGCAACAGCAGCATCCCACTTCTGATCCAGATCCCTGCTTATGCACTGAGAAAGCAGTCGGGGATGGCTCAAGTCCTCAGGCCCCTGCACTACAGGAAAGAACAAGAAGGTCTTAGATCTTGGCTTTGGACTAGCTTAGCTCTGCCCATTGAGGCCACTTGGGAAGTGAACCAGTGGGTGGAAGATTTTTCTCTTCATCTTTCCCCCTCTTTTTGTATCTCTTTCAAATAAAAAGAAATAAATCTGAAAAAAAGAAAAAGATCAATCGATCAATCGATTTATCGATCAAGTACTAGTTCATTTTTTTCTTCTAAAATTTTCTTTGTGGGAGGCCAACAAGGCAAGCACTGAACACTCAACACTGCAACATGCAGCCCCAAAAATCCAGAGAAACAAACGCAGCAGGCAAGGAAAAACAACAAGAAAAATCAGCGTGTACTCCAGCTACTAGCAACAGACATGCACCACTACTATGTACCTGTTGATACAGGTGTGCAAACTTGTCTTTCACAAACACCAACCAAAGCATGGCTTTGATTCCTCAGCTTCCATCAAACACAATCCAGATTGCCAGATGCCTGCCTGGGGCTAGCAAGACAGTGTTACAATTCAACAGGCACAGCAGGACCCATGTCCTGTGAAGTCAAGTTGAACGCACAGGCTTCTAGCCTTCCAGGGCCATTAGAACAAAAGCTCCATTCCTGCTGCCCAGGTATGGTGAGGTCAGGAAAGAGCTCAGCTGGCACCCACACTGTCCTCCTAGCTATCCCTCAGGCACTCCGCTACTTTTGACAAGTCTCTAGCCCCATTCTCTATGGGAAAGGTGGAACCAGCCAGGCCAACATTCCACGTCCATGTCTGCAGGTAGTGGGCAAGAGAGGAACTTCCACTTCCTGTCCCGAGGTACCCACACTCAGCAGCACCACCTTCCCTAGGTCCTGATTCTTGCACTTTGTTTTGGCCTATCCAATATTAAGATCCCACCTATTGAGCCCGGCATAATAGTCTAGTGGCTAAATCCTCACCTTGCATCCACCGGGATCCCACATAGGTACCAGTTCATGTCCCGGTGGCCCCACTGCCCATTAAGCTCCCTGCTGTGACCTGGGAAAGCAGTCGAGGACAGCCTAGAGCCTTGAGTCCCTGTACCCACATAGGAGACCCAGAAGCTCCTAGCTCCTGGTTTCAGATCGGCTCGGTTCCAGCCATTGCGGCCACTTGGGGAGTGAACCAGTGGATGGAAATCTCTCTCTCTCTCTGTCTCTCCTTCTCTCTCTAAATCTACTTTTCCAATAAAAATAAATACACATTTAGAAAGAAAAAAGATCCTACCTATTGCGGCTGCCACCTTGTAGCAGCCTAATCTCAACCTGTGTGACACCAGCATCCCATATGGACGACATTTTATGTACCGCTGCTCACTTCTGATCCAGCACCCTTGCTTATGGCCTGGAAAAGCAGAAGATGGCGGCTCAAGTTTTGCACTCCTGCACCCATAAGGGAGATTCAGAAGAAGCTTGTGACTCCTGACTTTGGAATCAGCTCAGCTCCAGCCATTGTGGCCATTTGGGAAGTGAACCAGCAAATACAAAACCTCTCTATCTCTATCCTTCTCTCTGTAATTTTGCCTTTCCAACCAAAATACCTTTTTTTGGGAATTTAATTGGAAAGGTAGATCAGATTTATGGAGAAGAGAGAGAGTAAGCTCTTCCATTTGTAGTTCACTGCAATGGCTGGATCTGAGCTGATCCAAAGCCAAGAGCCAGGAGCTTCTTCCGATCTCCCATGCAGATACAGAGTCCCAAGGCTTAAGGACATCCTCTACTGCTTTCCCAGGTCAAAATCTGGGAACTAGATGCAAAGTGGAGCAGCCAGGACATGATGGTGCCCTTAGGGGATCCTGGCATTTGCAGGAAGGATTTAGCCATTAAACCATTGTGTCAGGCCCAAAATAAATGCAACTTACCAAAAAAAAAAAAAAGAAAGAAAGAAAGAGAGAGAGGGAGGGAGGGAGGAAGGAGAAAGAAGGAAGGAAGGAAGCAAGGGAGGGAGGGAGGGAAAGAAAAAGAGAGAGAGAGAAAAAGAAAGAAAGAAAGAAAGAAAGGACGAACAATCCCACCTATTGTCTTTCCTGCCCAGCACCCCAGCTATCAGTCATATCTGTTCATATCTCTAATCTAAAGCTCCTGGCTCAGCAGGAGACCCCAGGTGACATAATTTCTGAAATTTTTCTATTCTTAATAAACTATAAAACTATAAATCAATAAGAAATACATGTCTGGGAAACTGTATGATGGATCAGGAACAAACTTTGTATCTATATATTTTAGCAAACTTGATTACATAATTCAGCACTAACTTTTAAAATTTTCTCTGTTAATTTCCTAATTATGGTAGAATGCTGCCAGACTCAGACAATTAAACACAATTAAATAGTGTTCAATCAATCATGTAAAATTATACAGCAGCCCTCCACTGTCAATACAACCTGAATCAGTAAACCTAATTCAGCATAAAATACAAGCACCTTAAAATGAAAAACCAAAAGAACTTATCAAAATCTGTGAGAGGTAAATAAAACTTAGAACAAATTTCTAAAAATAAGCACCTACTTTAATTAGCAAAAATGATATAATCACACCTAGACTATGAGGAAAATACAGTCACAAGGCAAAGGAAGGGATGCAGGACGGACATTAGGCACAAAGGTTAAATCACTCTTGGGACACCTGCATTCCATGCTGGAGGGGCTTGGGTGCAGTCCCAGCTAGTCTGGGCTTCTTCTTTTTTTCTTTTTAATTACTTATGTATTTATATAAAGGGAACAGATTTCATACATGTAATTTTAAGCTACTCTACAAGGAAATAATGTCTCAAGCAGCTGGCTCCTTGAACTTAACTCTGATTCTCACAGGTAAATGGGAAATACATAGAATATTCTCTTTCTCTCTTTTATCTCTTCCTTCTTCCTTCTCTTTCTGTCATATTGCCTTTCAAATAAATAAAAACAGGGCCCGGCGTGATGGCGCAGTGGTTAAGGTCTTCGCCTTGCACACCCGGGATCCCATATGGGCGCCGGTTCTAATCCCGGAAGCCCCGCTTCCCTTCCAGCTCCCTGCCTGTGGCCCGGGAAGGCAGTCGAGGACGGCCCAAAGCTTTGGGACCCTGCACCCGCGTGGGAGACCCGGAAGAGGCTCCTGGCTTCGGATCGGCATAGCATCGGCCATTGCGCTCACTTGGGGAGTGAATCATCGGACGGAAGATCTTCCTCTCTGTCTCTCCTCTCTGTATATCCGATCGGTGGCGCATGCAGATCCCATATGGGCGCCGGCCATTCCAAAGGCAGTTGAGGGAGCTTTGAATCATCGGATCGGCATAGTATCGATCACTTGGGGAGTGAATCATCGGACGGAAGATCTTCCTCTCTGTCTCTCCTCTCTGTATATCCGCCTTTCCAATAAAAAAAATAATAATAATAAAATGGAAGGAAGGAATCACCTCAACCATGCTGAGTCTGATCTTTAACTTGGTGAAGTAACAAATGAGTCCAGGCTGCCAGTGCACGCCTTTTGGTAACATCTTGAGTCCCCAGCCAGCCAGCAAAAGCCAATAGGAGAGAGAAGTACCTAGGTGTAACACCAGTGGGAGCAGGCTCGGGTCACCTGGTTTTGTTGGCAAATAGTTCAAATTCCATGAGGAACAATCATCTGTCAATTAATTTTTGAAATAGAAACCCACACCACGCAGCCCAATGGCCACCTCTCAGGATCTTCCATTCAATGGGCCTGAGGCAGACGGAAAGTCAAAACAGTCCTCCCCAGCCTCTCAGCTGCCACTGTGACTCCAATGGAGCAGAGCAAAACAAATGCTCGCTTGAACAGTGACTCACCAGGAAGTCTGTTCATGTTGACGCCTTGAGCCGAGAGTCCTATTCCCATGTACCTTCAAAACAAGCACACATACAAAATGTTAGCAAATGATTACTCAGCTCCCTTTCTTTAGTAGTTACTGACATGAAACAGGATGACAGAAAGCAATGAATAAAGAGCACTTTCAACATATTAGAATTGGCTAGAGAATCTTTACATTTTATTTCCTTATAAAAACACCTTACTATCTCGTATAGCTGGAGAAACCAAGAAAAATTGTGTATGGAACTATGAATCTGGGCCTTAGCTCCTCAGAAAGTGACCTGAAATCCCGGCTTCTGCTGTGTTGGTTCCGTGGCTCCAATGAAGGCAGCAGAAGCTCCTGGCTCCTGGCTTCAGATCAATTCAGCTCCAGGCATTACAGTCACTTGGGGAGTGAACCTACATGGGTAGACTTGAGTCATCTTCTGCTGCTTTCCCAGACAATAAACAGGGAGCTGGATGGGAAGTAGAGCAGCTGGAACTTGACCCAGACCCTTATGGGATGCTGGCACCACAGGCAAAAGCTTAGAATGCTTTCCCATGGCACAAATCCCACACTTTTTTTTCTAATACTAAACATATTCTATTTTTGATGATGTTTACATAATTAAGAGGGATGCATGCCCTTGAGGACCACCAATTAAGGTGGAGAAGGTTAAGGAATGGGGGAAAGTAGATGAGACAACTGTTTCCAATCTCTTTTTTTCTTCCTGTATCTGGGGAAAGTGGGGAGAAAAGGGGAGAAGGCCGTTCCCAGCAGTCCAACTGCATCAGTACCTAGGGATGAGGGATGGCTGCCCAGTGTCATCCCAGAATCCCCGAAGCGGAGTATGTTCCAAGGGCACTGCTTAGGTGATTTCAATAGTCCTGAGTTGCTGTTGATTTCACTGCTCCAAGGTTCAGGAAATCTTCCCAAGGTCCATTAGCTGACATAGTTCACCTTAGAGTCTCCATGCATCCAGACACTCACTGTTAAAGCTTAGCCAGGAGAGCTGTCCAATTTGTTCTGCCCTCTCTGGCACTAGACATCCTCTGCAGCCCTCAATGAACTGGATGTCATGTTCCTCATGAACAACTGGGCATGCTGGGGCCCAGCGCCATGGCCTAGCAGCAAAGTCATCGCCTTGAAAGCGCTGGGATCCCATATCGGCACCTGTTCTAATGCCGGCAGCTCCATTTCCCATCTATCTCCCTGCCTGTGGCCTGAGAAAGCAGTAGAGAACGGTCCAAAGCCTTGGGACCCTGCACCTGTGTGGGAGACCTGGAGGAAGCTTCTGGCTCCTAGCTTCAGATCGGTGCAGCACCGGCTATTGCAGTCACTTGGGGAGTGAATCACCAGATGGAAGATCTTCCTCTCTGTATTCCTGACTTTGCAATAAAAATAAATAAAATTCCTCCCTCTTGGGTTACCACTCTCACAGGAGGGCATGAAAACTAGGATGGGGCTGGGGTGGCTAGACAGAAAGACACCCAACAACATCCGTGAGGGCTGGATAGTTGAGCTGGTTAGATGGAACTAGGCTTTAATACCCATTGACATGTACGAGAGCCGAATGGGATGTGGGACAGACTGGACTAGTCTGCTACACATACTGGCAAACCAGGGTAGGGGGCCTGATGGGGGTTATTATGGGTCGCTCCAACTAGGCTGCAGCTCCCACTGGTTTATGTGAGGGTCGAGTATGTGCTGGGCAGAACCAGGCTGGACTACAATACCCAGTGGTTCCAGTGGAAGTTGGGGCTGAAAACAGAACCAACCCAGCAATTGCAAACACCAGCTGATTGGGGCGACAGATTGTGCTGGGCCCTGTGCTTGCTAGTACATACAAGAATCTGGTCTGGGAACACCTCAGACTAAGTTTCTTTGGGGATCTCCATAACCGAAGTGCTTGACTCAGAACCCTAACCAAGAAAAGACAGAAGACAGAACAAGTCAATCAACCACCTCAGCTATATGTTGGCAGTGAAATACTGGGCAAACGGAGACTCTATGATGGACTATGTCAATCAGTGGATTCTTCAATGACCTCATCGTGCTTGGAGTGGCGAGACTGGCAGCAATTCATAACTGTTGAACTATCAAAACCACTTGAGCAAGAATCTCGGAGCATGCCCCACATCAGGGACCTGGGGTGGGTGGGAGACTGGGTGGGACTTCTCCCTTAAAATCCCCCTTTACCTCACACAAAATGAAGGAAACAATATGGAAATAAGTCTTACCCACTTTCCTATAGCCCTTGAACTTTTTACCCAAATTAACTATATAAAGATTGTCAAAAATATATTTAAAAAAAACTGGGCATGCTGTCCACTACACAGATTCTAACAATCGAGGAGACCCAGTTTTGACACATGCACTCCATAAACAGACCACAGATCCTATGATTTTTTTTCCGGTGGCTGGAGTTTTAAGTTCAGTGGTCCAGTTGGAAGGTCCCTAAAGGTGACTCCAGACCTGATTCCTGAGTGTCCCAACCAGTGCAGGATCCAGCTCAGTCACTCACCCACATCAAACTACACACGCATTGGTGGTTGCAATTTGGTCAGTTCTGCGCCCAGCTCCATCTTGATGCTTGTAGCCCAGACCATCCCTGCCCACCACACACTCAGCCCATGCACACACAAGTGGGAACTAAAGCCTAGTCAGAGTGATCCCAAATAACTCCCACCAGATCCTCCCCCAGCCCCAGTTCCTGCAGATTGGTCCAGTCTGTCCTGCATCCCATTCAGCTCTCACACACATCAATGGATTTTGGAGCCTAGCTCAGCCTGACCAACTCCACTATCCAGCCCACACTCATGCTGGCAGGTGCCACTGCCTGTCCAGCCAGACCCACCCTCAACCCTGGTTCCCATGCTCACCAGTGGGAGCTGCAGTCCATCAGAGGAGTACCCACAATATCCCTACTACGTGCACTCCTAGCCCTCTTGGACTCTCCAGGTCCAAGACTCTCCAGGTGGTTCTGTGGTCTAGCCTGTCAGGACATGCCCCCAGTCCCAACACCTGCTAGCCGATGCTGCAGCAAAGCCCAATCAACCCTTACTTACTTTGGCTCATGCATGTACCAGTGGATATGGTTGCTTAGTCCAACCTGGCTGTCCCCCTAAACCTGCTCACATGCAAACCAACAACCCAGCCCCAGCTCTCACGCTTACCATTGGCAGCAGTGGCCCAGCAATGGAGTCCTTGCAGACCATCTACCTGGCTTGCCACCCCTCCGGGTCTTACATGTGCTATAGCCTGGCTTGGCCCAGTCTATCACCAGTCCCAGCTTATGCTGGTGGGTGCTGCAGCCTAGCCTACCCTGACACTCATGTACATCAGCAGGTATAACCTGGCCTGGTCTGGTTTGCTCCCAGACTTGGTTCTTGCACTCACATGACAGCGTCATGACAGAGGAGTTCCCCAAGAGCTCCTCTACTAGGTCATCTTCCAGTGGCAGATCTCACGCACAATGGTGGGTTCTTGGCCTAGCCTGACTTGGCCCACCTCCTGTCCTGGCAGGTGGAGTAGCACTACCCTGCCCAACCAGCCCACACCCAAGTGGTTCTTACTTTTGGGTGCTACAGCCCAGACCCACCAATACTTTTTATAACACAGTAAGAGGTGAATATACTGCATAAAATGCCACTTAGGATAGTCACATCCCAAGTGCCTGGGTGAAGTCCTGGCTCCACTATAGATTCTAGTTTCCTGCTAATGCACATCCTTGGAGAAAGCAGCTGACAGCTTAAATGGCTGGATCCTTCTCATCAACATAGAAGACCCAGACTGAGCTCAAGACTCTGAGCTTTGGCCCAAACTTGGCTGTTAAGGGCAAGTGGAAAGTGAACCAAGCTCTGGACATCTATCCCTCTGCCTTTCAAATAAATTAAAATTTAAAATTAATTAATTAATTAATTCAGCACAACCAGTCAACAAAGGAGACTCAAGTTTCTGAGACCCAGTTGGAAATGCTGGAGCCAGTCAGCAGCAAGCACTCTCCTATCCTGCTCTAGCCCTGGCATTTAGGTCACACAAACATACCTGCATGGACAAATCTCACCTCTGCCCCTGAGCTCACCATGTGCCCAAGGGCACGTCACATGGCACTCAGAGTCTGCTCTGTCAGCTACTGTCACAAGTCTGGATAGCCCTGAAGACAAGCAATCACCAGGATCAGATGAGAAACACCTGGGCACAGGGCTGACAGGGCTGATGGTGGACGATTGCTGTTGAACTTGGCTCTGTCCACTAACTCATGCACTGGAGGCTCTTCAAGCTCAGGTGAAACAAAACAGGCCATTCCTGAAGGCATAAAAGTGCCTGTTCACTTGGCTTTGTGGATGAGAAAAAAGATGAGCATCTGTCCCCCTGCTGATAACGGGTCAGGCTATGCTAGAACCCTGACAGGCTGCCTAGAGGAATACAATAAGGACTCCCACTCCTCAGCCTGGTGACAGAATCCACAGAACAGCTGAGCATTCCAACATGTCCATTCCCTGGGGCTTTCCTTACAGGCAGCAAGATACATTTGAGGAACTTGGGGAGAAAGTTACCCTGGATTAAGAAAGAAAGGATTTGTTCCTTCCTTTTTTACAGCAGGAAAATGGCTACTGTAGAAATATCACTGGCCAGAGGGGTCACACAGCCTGTTAAGGGCAGAGGGACAAGAGGCAAGCTCTCATGACAGGAGGGTCATAAGCTGGCCTCACTTCCCAGTTCCTATCCTTCACTATCAGAATAATGGTAGAAAGTGCAGCTACAAGAAGTCACTCCACCCTCCTGCCAGGATTTGGAGAGAAGAGCACAGAAAGTGGGCACTGTTGGACCACCTCAGAGCAAAATGGAGGAGCAGCTGCACTGCCAAGTGAGCAGCAAGGGCTCCCAGTTAAGCATACCCACAAAAACGCAGCTTATCACACAGCAATGCCACCCAGAAACACCCACCATTCTCCGCAAGAGGCAGGGGAGCAAAGGGAGTCCTGAAAAGAGACTGTCTGAGAACGGACTGGCAGCTGCAGGGGCCCGTCCTGCCCACAACAGCAATC